AATATGTTTGTTTACTATTACATGCCAATTTAATTAGGGTCAGTAGGTAGGAATTTTTTTTCATTTAAAAGTAAAGTAAAAACTAGAAATACAAAGCTGTTTGCCTGAAAATTACTTTTGTTATTTTTTTTTTTAACAATTAAATATCATAAGCAGTAAACACTTTAATATTTCTTATTCTTCTGCATATTGCACTTTGAATCTTTAGTTGAACATTCAGACTAACTTTATCAACAAATTATAAACATGTTCATTTGCTAATGCATATATGTAAAAAAAAAAAAAAAGATTATGTAACTATATAAAAGTTAAATAATTCTGAAATTTTTAATTTATTCAATGTCTTCTTCCCAATTGGATATCTTTAAAGTTCATGTGTGTGTCAGTAGCTAAGGGGAAACCCTTGTGTTTCATATTTAAGAAATAAAACCTTGTTAATATTATATTTCTAGGAAAAGTAGCTATAAAATGACTTGGGTTGTTGTTAAAAAGGGACATTTGAAGGAAAATGCCCCCCTCAAAAAACCATCCTATTTTAAAAAATAATTATTTTGTGTGTTTTTTATCTTTTGTCAAAAAAAAAACGGCGTCAGTTTTTAAGTGGGTATATTGATCCTTCAAGCACAAATCCTGGATATGTCCTTGTTCTCTTGAGTCTTTCATCACTGAGTTGTGTATTTGTTTTCTCATAGGCCTATTTATAAATAATTAAAAAAAAATTTAAAAGACCCTTATATCTTGTTATGTTATCTTAAAAAGTAGTCTACATAATTGGGAAGCGATCATAGCAAAACTCAATAAATAAAAATAACCTATAAAGAGTTATTATAACAGGCGAGTGGGGTGGGTGTTTGATCCGCTCCCGTTACAATAAAAATGGCGTCGCTCAGCAGACGCTTCGTACTCATCGTACTATTCGTGAAATATTGTGAAGTAGAAATGTTATCATGGGTATTTTCGTTCAGTATCATTGCATACAGGAAAATATTTAATGGATTTTGACCAAAACATGTCTGATCCTGTCATGAAAGTGGACATTTAGTCAAAAATTCTATGCCATGTTCTGTCGCACGACTGCTATTGTGAACGTTTTCAAAGGCTTGACTTGTCGCCGGTGAGTTTATTTATGTTCTACAACTTTTTCCTTCTCTGGGACGCACGGTAACTTGAAAAAAATATGTAATTTACGTATCTTGCATATAAATTAAAATAAACTACCGTCAGATAGATTTTTAATCGTAAAAACGTAAATCGGAAATAAGGTGACGTGACAAATATAAAAAATAATATTATTGAATGATGTTAAATAAAAATTAGTGAATGATTATAACTTTATATAATGAATTTTGGTAAAACTTTCATGTATGTCCGGTAGAAGTCCTGTCAAAGCAAAAAAACGAATTCAATCTAAAATGCTGAAAAATGAACCTTTGGGGCTATTTTTTTCCAAAAAGTTCTCAGAGGAGGCTTCCCTTTGGGCCTAACCCCACCCCACCCCACCCCCGAACATCTGGATCCGCCACTGACTAAGAAGAAGAAAAAAGTAAGATAATGTCAGTTTCACAAAGTTCAACTTTTTCTAAATCGTGAGAAAGGGAAGGGAGGGAGGTAATAGGAAGAAAAGAAATTTCTGTACAACAACGTAAGAATTTCTACTGTATTGCAACAAAAAAGGGGGCAGCTGGCTTAAACTTTTTTTAAACAATTTAACGGCAAATCCTTTAGAAAAATATTAACGGGGAGGTATGAAAATGTTGGTCCTGGCCACAATTGTATACTCAACGTACGGCTAGGACAATCATTTTGTTGATTTGTAAATTTGTTGTTGAATAACGTATCTAAAGCATCTTGATACCAGGTAAGTTATTCCTGATCACTGACCCCCCCCCCTTTTTATGGTGCAAGTCTATATGAAATTCTAGAAAAGAGGGGAGCAAAAATACATCTCAGCTCCCACATTTTCCCCTCTCATTATATATATATATATATATATATATATATATATATATATATATATATATATATATATATATATATATATATATATATATATATATATATATATATATATATATATATATATGATTAGCCTATTAATAAAAAGACCTATCAGAAACTGTTATCAGAAATTGCATCAACTTCAAATCTCCCTTTTCTGAGATTAACTGAATTGGGAGCAGTAGACTGAGTTAGAAGCGATTTTTTAATAAAGAAAATGGATGTTATGTGATTTCAGTTTAATCGTCCGAAAGTTGAGATATAGTAAGTAAGTACTTGTTGGGAATGGCTGTGACCTTTGATTTTAAATACATTGTACATAGACAAAAATTCGAAGAAATGTAGTTGTACTAAAAAAATTCAAGATGGCGACTGTGACGAACCTTGTTATTATAGCATGGATTTCTTTTTCATCAATAAAGAGAAATGTTTCAAACGTTAAGTCTAGATGCCTGGTTCGATTATTTCTGAAGTGTTTAAGTGTGTAATACAACCCTGATGTCTTGTCATCGAATGCAAGGTGATGTACTTTAAGTCGTCCTCTAAATTTGCTAAACACGGCATCTAAGTGTTTTCTATTATTGTCTCAGCCTCATCATTTTCGAAGAAGCCATCGTATTTCTGTAAATTGGATAGATGGGCTGTAATATTGGCACTTAATATTTGTTTGTTTGTTTGTTTGTTTGTTTGTTATTTTTTTTTTTTTTTTTTTTTTTTTTTTTTTTTTGTTATTGTTGGGTTTTTTTCATATTTTGTGTTTTTGTTTGTTTTTTGTTTAACATCCCTTCGAGAATTTTTCACTCATACTGAGACGCCACCACTTTCCGGTGGAGGGGCTGCAAATGTACTCGGCATTTACTGTCTTTGAGCAGTGAGGGATCTCTTTCGTGCCAGCACCTACTTCAGCACGGGGCCTCAGTTTATAGGGTCTCATCCGAAGGCCCGGTTTTCACGTCCTGCAGTGGGATTTGAACCCGCGACGTAAGGATCAACTCCTTACTTCGCGACTCAAGAGCGAACGCTCTAACAACTGCACCAAGCAGTCGACTGGCAATTAATAGAACAGAGAGATTTTTTGAAGGCTGAATCTATAGTTTACGTATATATACCAGCTTCCAAAAGACTTCAAAATTAGACTTAATGTAGACATATTCTTGGCACCGAGGGCAATTGAGCAGTGAGTGTTCTTTATCGTGCCAACACCTACCGTGAAATGGGACTTGTTTTAAGGTCTCATCCGAAGAACTCGTGACTTCTAATGCCGGGCGCTTGGTGAAGACAGAGTTACTACCTATGTTTACGTCTTAGGATTGACGCAGCGAGAAGAGAATCGAACCCAGGCCTAGTAGGACCGGTGCATTGTAGGTGGAAAATTATGAATTAATTTTCTTACATTTTTAACAGTGCTAAAATTATTTCTTTTTCATCTGGATGAAAAATATTTCAAAACCATATATATTCCTACAGTACCGTCCAACGTGAAACCATTTGAAAATATATCATACATTTACAAACAAGATCTTTAAATTACAATTTACCTATGGGCCTACTTTATTTGTCCGAAATCGGCGTACACAAGAAAATTTCTTAACGTAATTGACTTTAATGTTTATGACAATAAATTTATACAAATTTTCATTTCATAACATTTATATGATAAATGCTTTTTAATACAGTACTTCTTTACTTCTACGATATGAATTATTGAAAAATATGGGCTAAGGTTACTGTAAATCACAAATTTTCGCGAGACCTTTTTTTCGCGAGATCGGTATTTGGTATTTCTTAGGGAGACCGAAATTTCACGAATTCAGCTTGTTATTACTTTATGATTTAATTTTGTTTGTATTCTAGCCTCTGATTGGTTAATATCCAAAAAGGAACACAAATTATTTCTGTATAACCTGGTTTGGTATGGGGACACACCCCCCTGACAACCATCTGAATCATCTGTATCCATACAATCCTCTCATTTCCAGTCCTCGAAATTCATGGAAAATTCAAGATTTAATAAATGTACCTTTTACTTCAAACAATGATTCGATCTTACCACATGTAAACAAACAACAAGGCTGCTAGGCCTATGTATCAGTTTTTACCTCCCCTTGCTTCCCATCACTTCCGTTACTTCCGTTACTACGGTTGTATTATTGAGCGGCAAATTTGAACTAATAAAAAGCAACGAAATTTTACACCCATAGTTATTTAATGATTTTAAAATTAAATTATAAGGAATGACTCTAATTCTTGGCCAAATTATTCGAGTATAACCTGGTTTGGGTCAGTTTACGCTGTTTTATAATCCGCTTCGCGGATTATAAAGCGTAAACTGACCCAAACCAGGTTATACTCGAATAATCTGGCCAAGAATTAGAGTCATTCCTAAAATACAATCTATACTAATTTACATCATATTTGTCTAACAAGGATGCGATTTTCTGTTCAAACCGTCAGTTTGTGACATAAGTTTTCTGAGAGTTTCTTGATACTTTTATGTTTCAAAATACCTTATTCTGATATATTTTAAAAGAATTTTTTGGACGGTAAATATATACCTTTTTTCTTTGAAATAAATCATTCTTTTTTGTGTATCAAACTCTTAAAAATGTTTTTGTTTGAGACAAAAAAATTAAGATTGGCATAATTGAACTGAATTTGGACATTTAACAACTTGAAATAACTTTCCGTCATATCTCTAAAACAGCTAGACGATTTTGTCGCCACTCGTTCTAAACGGGTGATCGAGGTGAACCTTCCCCGGTTTAATAAAGCAACATGTAGGATTATCAAAGGTTTAACAAAATAATTCCTTTCTATGAGAAAGCCAATAAGATGTTACAACGTACATATAGCAACCTTTATTCAATTATTTATAGTCTGCTTCTTTATTATTGGTTAATAATTCACATAAAGGGTTACAAAAGTATTCTATAAGAGTAAATAAATACAATATATACAATATAAATGTGCGTTTCAGCGTTTCTATTATTTGATGACAAAAACTAACAACTGCTCTCAATTTTCGACATTTTGAGTGTTTCACACGCACTACTGGGATCCGTACTTTTAGTAATCCCAGTTTTTTCCTTAAATATCTTTTTGTACATAAGAATTGTCCTCTTATTGCAAACAAAAGCCAGGAATATGAAGACGCCCTGTAATGTGTTCATGATGGAAATAATGTACGTGAAATAACTTGGTGGTAAAAGACCGTCTAAAATCTGCAAAAGCCAGACAATTCCTGTTACAGGAAATAAGCGTACACATATTAAAAAATCGTTCCTTTCGGGTTTATTGTTAGAAACTGTTGGAGAAAGTTTAATTGCATGAATTGTCTGTGAGAAGAAAAAGACATTACTGATGCAGAGAAAACCAACCGGGACTAGAAAAGTAAAGATAACGGACATCTTTCCATCAATGAAACAATTTTGCTTTCCATAACCAACATTCCCCCGAATTGAAAACATGGTAATCATATACCCTAAGACAGTAAAAAGTGGCAAGAGAAAGATATAAATACAATACTTTATAAGCAGTAAATTTTCGTTGTAGATTTGCAGAGGTATTCTGGCATGAAAAACCCGATACATATGAAAACAACAGATGTTCATACAGGTAAAAGACGAGAGCCAGAAGTAATGAAGAAGAATACCAACAACAACACATTTTGTGTTCTTTTTGTTTTCCCCGTAACTCGCCAGAGATACAATATTTATGATAAAGATAGTAGAAACAAGAACCATTATTGTTTTCCCTGGAAGTGATCTTAGTTCTCCAAAAAAGCAGTACGTGACAAAAGTGATCAACAGACAAACACACGATAATATAGAAAATACAACGTAGAGTGTACGTAAAATTCTACTAAAATTGATCCCCCTGTTGAAATTGGACATTAAGACATCAACACACACTCTGATTGTCCCATTCTCCAAAATATCAGCATTTACAGCAGGTAGAGTAATATCGTAACTCTTCAAAAACACCACGTTTTGAATGCTATCAAATTCATACTCCTCTAATTTGAATTCCACTTGTTTGCATATCAGTACGTTAGTGATATGTACGGCACGATATTGTAATATATGATTCCATGATGAACCATAACTCGATTGTGAACATCGATCTTCTTCTGGTTCTAGTTCCGTTACGTTGCTGTTATTCTTTCCTAACGAAAAATATCTGTTCTTGAAATCAAACAGAATAAAGGTATCATTGCATATATATTCTAAATTAGTTTCAGTAAATCGTAATAGAAATTTTTCCGTTTTCAATCGATCAACAGATTCATTGATGAATATTGTAGATTGAATCCACCCATGGAATTTTCCGTAGTCCTTCTGAACATATTTCATACGGAAGATATTAAAAAAAAGATTTTCCGTTAGCTTTACGGTTTTCTTAATTTTGAATGGTATTAAATCCGTGATTAAATCTTGAATATTTTCCTCGGATATCTTGTACTTAGAAAATCCCTTGAAAGTTATATCCAAATTATATCGAAGATTTTTGGTAACCGAAAACAGCGGGATGCAGCTTTCTCCACGAATTAAATATTTTCCGGGAAAACATGTTATATTCCTGCAGATTCCCTGGAAAAAAAATTGTGTGTTAAGTTCAGTTATTCATATCATTATGACAAATTAAATAAAAACAGATAACTTTGATTGCCTATTAAGACACCATCCTAAATATTTGCATATTCTATAACATTCTTCGCAGAAGAATTCGATGATGAAATAACTTACAAGGAATGGGTCGTAAATTTGGTCATTTGAGCACATCCGACCAAGCAGCGCCTCAAAATCCATGTCTTTATAATCACCACTGACGGAAAACAAACTGCGTAGCAAGGGATACCAAACAAGGGAATTTGATACCAAATTCTCTTCTTCTTCTTCAGTTCCACCCCCTACCCCGCGATTCACAGACAACCCGATGCCATTGCATATTGCACAATAGAGATTCTTGTAGGGGGCATAGAAGTACACCTTTGGAAAAAAATCGCAAACATTTCCATAACCAGAGGTAACTGGACACTCATCAATTGTTATCTCCACGGCTCTATAAGGGTTGCACATAGCACAATAAACGTTTTTATATATACCCCCTCCAAACTGATCAGGCGCTACCCAATCATGATACCGTCTGTATGGAAGATCCTCGCATGCCCACCTTACATCTGAGTCTATAATTGGCCAGTGTCCCGTTTTGTTGCATTTCTCTATTACATCAGGCGTGAGTTTGTCACATTTTCGACTGTCTGTTGCTGGATAAAGCGTCAAATTGCAATCAGCCTTTCGTAAAGACTTGAAAAAATTACTATAAAGCAAGAAGTTTGTGTGTTCAATATATGAAAAACAATGTGACTTCATCGTCCATGGTTTGTAATTTTTTTCTCTTCGAGAAACACTACACAGTAAACAGTACATATTTAGATATGGAATGCCTGTCGATAAATCCGTGACTGGGTGAATAGAAAATACGTCCCCCGGTGGTTTCCTACACCTCTGACCTATAAATTCAGGAAAACGATCTAGACCATAACACCCATTTGTCACTAAACTTTCGTTAAATGTTTTATTTGGTTCAGATTTTGAGAATATTTTTTCTTTTAAGCAAGTTGTAGGATACATTAGAAACAGATCTTTACAGCATGCAGTTCTTTCTTCAAAGAAAATGCATTTTGCATCACATGAGCAGTAAGAACGGAAATTGAACTTTGCTGGAATTCCATATTCCCCACACATTCCCGATTCAAAGTCCATTGAATACGACTTATGCACAGATTTGTTAAATCACTATAATTGTGTTTCATCAAAACTAGATCACGTGATTGATTAATCATCTTTATTTCTCCGGACTGTTCAAAAACATTTTGTTTAATAAAAAGGAAATATTCGTCTGAAAATTCATGCACATCAACGTAAAAGTAAAATATAGGTACAGAGGATTCGTTACGAAATAAAAGCTCAGTATGCATGTCCAAGCTTACATCGACAAAGGGAAAGTTTGATAAATTTGGTCGGTTACACAAATAGCAAAATAAGTTCTTATATGGCAAGGTTCCAGAGTTGTCACTATAATATAAACATGCGTTATTTACTGTAACGTTAAATGTGTCCCACATTCCACTTTCATTGCACCGAGATATTGTGTTGACAGCAGTGAATGTTGGATTACACATTTTACAAAACATATTTTTGAACAATGTATCATTATTAAAATAATCGGCAACACATCCATATTCAACAATCTGGATGTAATGTTTCCATGTCCCTGTTTTATTACAAGAATTAAAAAAATGGCCGTTTTCTTTGTAACAGTTGTAAGAGATGTTTTCATTTGGAGGATATGATTGTAACAAACATTTACGCGTGATAGCATTTTTGATGACGTCATCAAAGGTTGAAATAAAATTGATATCCAGAAATTGATCACAGACTATATCAATAGGCCAGGTAAAAAAATTAAAGTCATCGTTGCAAATCGCACAAAACCGATTGTAGTACGTTCGAGAAGTATTGTAACTTGTAACTGGTGGGTATTTCAGTTTATCGACGTCATCCGTGACATTTTCGCATCTTTTGAGAATATTACTATTTGTGCTGTGTGGACAAGAGTCAATCATTAAATATGATGTTCTTTGTTTTCTTTCAAAGTAGTTTGATGAGGCATTAACGATCGTGACATTCTTACAGGTCGGCGCTGGAGGAGAGAAGAACACATCCGGACAACAATCACCTCTAATGAAACACTCCTGATCGCAGAAACATGACGGACAACGTGGATATAGTGCTGAATCCTTCACCTCCCACGGAAATAGAGTTTTATTTAGGTAACAAAAATGTTCAGTTCCACACAGCGTCAAAATTTGCTCAAGTAGCTTAGGGACTTCTATATTCTCCGTCCTCATGAATGGTCGAAAAACTACATATAGAAATATAATGTAGAAGATAAACCCCTGCATCATTGGTAGTTTTTTTTTTTTACGTCGGCAACTTTTGATTTATAACTCCTCTACTGGTGAAGAGATTATACTGGATATAATTCATGACAATATTGTAAATTGTGAGTATCTCATCAAGTATTTATCCACAAATCTCTTCCAATCAATAGTTTATAAATGTTTGAATAGTATCTGTATTTAATCATCATTTAATCATCATGTGAACAGACTTCTATTAAACAATGCAGGTCTAAGCTACTAACAACCTGTGCTGGATTTTTTTCCTGATGAAAGTTTTACATTCAAGAATAAAAACTAGTATATTTATATCAGTTATTCAATTTTCCTTACTTTTATCACTTTGAACTAAAGGATTTCTGCGGAGAGATCGTTTTGTTCATTTTCCAATAAATTTAATATCAACTTGAGTTACCGAATTACTTTTTACTGTACGCATCATTATGATGTTCGTCAGTATTTAAATCAGTACAAATAAATAACAAGTTAAATTGATACAAAGCATCCAATCGGCCGCAAAAATATATTTGACATTTTGAAGTATTTCCAATAGAAAGAGTAAAAAAATCCAAGTAGAAAAAAAATATATTTGCTACATTTTTACAATTGCTTTACTTTTCTGTGCAAATTTTCCTTTTACACTTAATAATTTTCAGTGATCGATTGTTAAATAACTATCCAAAGATATGAAAATCGGACTGAAATAAAGGATAGGAATGTATTTTCATCAAATTATTTGATTGAAGTACAATGCGACAAATATCTAAAGAACTACCACGCTAATTATGAATACATGTCTGAATGCTGACAAAAAGGACGTACCAACTTCACGTGCTGATACCCTGGATCTTTGTTACTTCGACTGTTTTCCTCGACTGTCGGTCCAGGAACTGTTAAAATAGACTGTTAAAAAAGACTGTTGCCCGCTGACGTCAAATGACGCTAAATTGGGTAATTTTTTCTTCATTCGGCTTCATTCGCGGCCTATGGCCTTGGACAACAGCTTGCACCCCGGTCCAACAGATCGACTGTTTCCCTCTACCCCAGGCAACAACTGTATATGTAAAGTGCAGGAAAAAATCATTGTGTCACTTGCAACTGCAGTGTATTCAAAATAAAATTCAGTTCTTATTCCAATTTATTCATTTTTTTAGGTACTGTAATTTATATCCGGAACTCAAAACGTTTTGTTTTTAGATCTTACGCACGCCTATATTGGGAACCAGTTCATGAAACAACTTCCTGTAAATTCATCAAATTAATAAGTATCTGACGAGAAATGAAAAACAAACTGAAACAGATAACAATAATTACTTAGACTTAGTATTAAGCTTAATTATGTTATCAATAAGAATTTATTCCATCGAAACAATGACAAAAACGTCTCTTTTCCCATGTGCACAATTGTAACACAACCACAAATAAATCGACCACTACTGTGGCCGATAAGGAAAATGACAATATTATAAACTAACACTCTTCCAAAAGAATGATTTTATTATTTTATGATTTAAATTCGGCTTCTTTTCCTCGTATGACTTTAAAGAGATATTTCAATCAAGTGCTCCTATTGAAAAAAATACAACCAAAAAAAACTGGTTTCAGTTGAAAAAAGAAAAATGTTCATGTTGTGTTCATATATAACAAAATTATATTGAATTAAGTACAAATTGAAAGCAAAACTAAATTTTTTTTCTTTTTAAAGTTAATTATGTAGCTTATTAAGGAAATAATGAAAAACGACCTTAGACTAAGTTTTTTTTTATGTGAGTGTTATTATCATTTTGACTGTATTTCGTACTTAGTGTTAACTGACAATATTAATGAAGTTGTACATGTATTAATGTGAATAGACATGCAAGTTAGTTTTCATATATATATATATATATATATATATATATATATATATATATATATATATATATATATATATATATATATATATATATATATATATAAGTTAAAAAAAACAAACAACGCTGTATATCCTAAGTGTCGGGTGTACTAAGCAGATACAAGGTCACTACTGGAAATTCAAATAAATACTAAAAATGAACGACGAAATGAACAATAAAAATTGTCAAATTTTCGGGACGCCCTGTCCCTTCCTCGGGACATAGAAAAAGTTCAAAAGTCAAGGAAGAACAAAACAAATGAAAACAAAAACATCTAGCACTACCACTACGCTACTAAAACTTATTTATTTAAACTTTAATATTTTGAATTCTGAAGTTAAAAACTAATAAATATGAAATGAATCCGGACCACCGCGAGGCACGTCCTTTCAGTAATAATAATACAATCGATAAAAATTCCTCAACTGACAATGATTAGTGGTCCCTGGGCTTACAGTTTGTAAGCTACCGACCAGACACGATTTGTAATTCATTATTCACCATAAAATGTATTAATGATTGAAACATAGTCATATAAACCTGTACGGCGGGTAAAGTCGGCATTTGTTGGAGCTGTACGGTTGTTAGGGATGAATATGTCCTCTCTGTTTTAAGTTGATAGTCTGTATCAACTATTTAGGAAATCGTCGTGAATTTGACAACTGTAGTACTAGTATTTCATGAAAATGAACCTCAACGTTATCAAGTCTGTTTGGAGAATTTTATATTCAAGGATGTTTTAAGTTAAATTTAGCATATAAAAAAATGATATTTTCGATTAAATATACGTATTTATCAACGTTTTCATCGTCATAATTTGATAATTAATATTCTTGGCACAAAGCGACCTTAATTAGATCTACTACTGTCTGGCTAGTCGACTGTAAGATAACTGTACGGCGAAGTCAGTCTCCTGAACACATTGAAGTATATGCCCAAAATGTACGGAATGCCTCCATTTAAATTGATTGTTGTAATATGATTAAATCAGACTTAATGCGTTCATTTTTTTTTTGATTTGAACTAAATGGCAGAAGAGACAATTTATTGGCATCGGAAGAGAATTTTAATTTTTTTTATCCTCTTGCAACAATGTTAGAGGAATATGGTAACGCGCTTGTGTGTGTGGTGGTTGGGTGGGCGTTTGGGTGCGTGTTTGAGTGAGTGCGTTTGTTACGGAAGTTAGCCAAGTTAACACATTCTTGTTACAGATTGTAGAAAGAGAAGTACATGTCTCGTCGGTTGCAAAGCTTTGTAAACACTTTTAAACCAGTTTTTGCAAAATTCCGTTTGTAAACAAGCCTTCCAATACTCCTTTCGGGTGCGCTCCTTTCAACAAGGTGGGCGGGGCTTCGTGGTTAAAGCAGACCCATGGTCATGATGATGCACTACCACATAGATCGTAGCAACTGGATGTAATTGGTCAGTGTCATTTGAATATTTCTCAATAATCAAGTATTGGAATTATGTTAATATTTATTGAATAAATCACAGCCCCCAACCCCACACGCACCTGCACCTAGCTAGCACCTGTTACATATGCACTCAAACTGCAAGTTTAGGAAGTTTTGCATAGTGGTGTCACTTCTACGTCGAGGTAATTTTTATTTGGATATTTCGTAACATAAACTATGAAATATTGGCGAATTGGGTATAATTTTAATATTTTTATGAAACAAATCACACAGAACAAATCCGGGATGTTTCGCGCCGATTCTGTTTCGCACTGAGATGGTTCGCGCCTAAATCGGCGCGAAGCATCTCACATTTTTTATGAATTATTTTCATCACATTTTGACCCATTTTAAAATGAATTATTTATTAGTTTTTAGATATAAATGTATATAAATTCATGCCTTGATAATATGCATTGCCAAAGGTAACGGAT